TGAGTACTCGCGCGGACGTCAGGGGCCCTCGAAGAAGTTCCCTGCTCCTTACCCGCCTAGTCTGGGGTCCTACCCAGAGCCCAGCGTCCTCGGCTGTCGGTAGGGCTGGAGACACCGCGGCGACACGGGGCCTTGGGGTGTCCCCTGGAGGCCAGGCCCGCTGGCGGGGACCTTAGGGCACCCCGGCCGGGGCTGCTTCCTGGGACCTCTGCTCCCCCGTGAGGTAACCGAGGCTGAGGTCAGTACGCCCTGCGGCTGCAGCCCAGAGTGGAAACCCACACTCGCTGTGGTGTCACCAAAAACGGGCCACCTTCAAGGGACAGGGCTCATCTGGCACCCGCGCGTAGTGGGACGACCCCGGGCACCCAGGAGAACGGGCTTGGCTGGGTGGTGTGGCAACTTCGACAGCCTCACACCGTCCCTCCGGGCCCTGTCCCATGTGCGCCATGCCGGCGCCCGGTCTCCTCCTGTCCCCAGCCCCGAGAGGCAAAGTCAGACCCGCACCTCGGGGTATTAACTGAAGTCGGGTGGGTAGACTCTGCCCCCCTGCACGCCCCTGATTTTCCCATGCCTTTTTTTTAAAGGAAAGAAAGTGTGCCCCAAATGTCAAGAGTCCTTGTAGTAAAAAACCCAATTGTATTTTGTCTTGGGCTTCAAGGGGCACTCTGGGACCCTAGGGACCGCATACTTCCCTCAGCCTGCGCCTCCATCCCTGTTCCCCAAGGAAGCCAGGCAGGCCCCTCCCCTCCTGGGGCTGCTGAGCACTGGATATGGGAGGAGAGCTCTCCTGAACATGACCCTGGACACGCTGTGCACCCTGTCGTTGGGAACAGCAGGATCACCGTGACTTTCCTCTCCCAAGGTGGTGGAGAACTGGGGGAGGGGTCCAGAGAACCTATCGTTTTCTCCTTTTCCGTATCATAATCATTTCCTCCTTTACCTTCCCCAGTGCCAAGGCTGGAGTTAGAGGCCCTGCCTCCTCCACGAAGTGCCAGTTTGTGGCAAGTTCTGCTTCCAACCACAAAGTTGTGGCCACAAGGTAAGTGCAAGGTGTGAGTACCTGTCACCAGACGGGACTGTTTTGAGCGTCTGCTTCAGTTGCAGTAGAGTCCTGCAGTTTGAGGGTTAATTATTATTTTTAAATGTAATGTTCGATACGTGTTCAGGGCGTGGAGAGGGAGGAAGATCTATGTGGATTGATTTACTTCTCAGTGTTTGCAGGAGCTTCATTTCTTTACGGCAGCCTGGCTCTGTGTCATTTAAAAGGAGATAAAGATGACTTTAAGCAGTGTTGTTACTTACTGAGCGCCTAAGTTCTAAGATTAGTGTGCTGTCTCTTGGCCGTCTTCACTTTAATTTGCGTGATCGGCAGGTGGCTTGTTGGTATCAGAGGTCACCTCTAGAACTGCCAACAGCCGGGGCAGGAGTGGCCCCCCAAACGGCCTCATGATAAACATTCCTGTGGTCACCGTCTGTGGGAGACTAGAGGCAGCAGGCCTGACAGTCTTGTACAGCTTCGAAGCAAAATTAAATTGAAGGGAGAAAAAGTGTTTTCCGTTTCTTTTCCCGCATCTTAAATCTACCCTAAGACTTGGTATTGTTATAAAATACTTCGTCTTAGCTGGCTGGTTTAAAAATTACGTGTGAGAGAGACAGGAGAGAGGATATGAGAGGAAGAGGAAAAAAGACATTTTCTTTCCTTTTTTGTTTGTTTCTGTTTTTTGCTTTGTTTTGTTTTGTTTTGTTTTTGGGACAGAGTCTCACCACTCTGTAGACCAGGCTGGCCTCAAACTCACAGTGATGCCCGAGTGCTGGGATTATAGGATTACAAGCATGCACCACTTATGGCTGGTTTTCTCATTTTCTTTCCATACACACACACACACACACACACACGAACATGCACGCACCCTGTAGCATACCTCCTTTTAACTTGCTTTATTGACTTTTAGGTTAAGAAAAATTTTCTAAGAAAACAATTATTTCTGCTTCATCATTTTAAAAGACTATATAATGTTCCACCGTGTTTAGATAATGGTACTGTCATTATTTAGCCAGTCCACCTGTGTGTATGAATACAGAAAATGAATTACATCTATAACTTGTTCACACATCAGTATTCATCGAGAAGCTGCTAGGGCCTGCTGGGCCCAGGCAGAAACAAATCACCATGGATCTGCTCCTCACACTGATTCTCAGGCCAGGATGTAGAAAAGAGACCGATTGACTATCCCTGTCATGGTTCAGGAGGGGGACACAGAGCAGAGAAGGGAGCCATTTCTGCCAGGACACCCTACTTTTTTGGGATTGGTGACCAGTGCACTTTTTTGAGCATCTGTGGGTTTATAATAAAAATGCTTTAAGTAGCCTTTTTTAAAATGTAAGAAAAATTTTACTTGGAGTAAGTTTTAAACATGCCGAATTTTCCTTTCCCCTTCTGTCTTCTTTGTCTCTGTGAACAGCTATGTCCTTGGTGGCAGATGGGATGGGTGGCTCAAGTGGCCAGAGTTTTTGTTTAATGTTTATCCTAATCCTGTTGCTTTGTTGATATAGGATGTGGCCCATGGGTTTTCTGCTTTTAAAAAAAAATTATTTTTTGAAACTTGAGAGTTTCTTGTTAATTTCTGTTTTTGTTGGCTTCGTGTAAAAGTCCATTTTTCAAAAGCTCCATAGGCACTGTTTAAAAATGCAGATTCTGTGTGACGGATAGACATTCGCTGTTTCTGCTGTTTCAGCCTTACTAGTACATAGAACAGGTTGTGTCACCTCTAAGGCTGTTGTCATTGGGGGGAAATTTGCGCAGAATTTTCATTTAGAGCTTGATGATTAGCAAGTTTTGTTTTGTTACCTGTGCATGATGGGGATTGAGCCAGGGCCTTGCACACTCTGCATACCCTGTAACACTGAGCTCTACCCTAGCCCCGAGATGGTTGAAGGTACCAACTGGTTAGGAAAGGCTCCAGGTGTTGCAGAGGGAGGGATGTATGTATAAAACTTGTTACTTTTCCCAGGATGCCTTTCGTAGTATGGGCTTCTTATGCAAGGAAATATCCTGCATTGGACTTTCTAGCCTAGGGCGTAAAAGAGTCAGACTTGTTGGTTCCTTGTATGTATGTGTGTGTGTGTGTGTGTGTGTGTGTGTGTGTGTTGCCTCTACAGCTTCATCACTTAGCATTTGTGACATTGCAGTGTCCTGGGGAGTCTGTGCACTTCCTTGGGTGAAGGCCTTCTCCCTTCCGGGGAGGGCAGGGAGGAAGAGGGCAACCCTTCAGGAGATTTCTGTAGTCCTTCTACATTTGTTTTGAGGCTTGCAGAGGGTGAAAGAAAGAGTATTTAAACATTGTGGTTTGCTCCAGGGAGCACTGTGATGTAGTAGGAGAGGCATAGCTGTTAATCCTGAGATCTGGATTCTGAGCTGCTGGATGCTGGGTGGGCCGGAGACCTGCAGAACACGGAATTCCTCTCTGGGCCACCTCTGAAGCGTTGTGAAGCCCCACAGCAGTGGCCTACAACACTATGCTTGTTCCCAGAAGTGTCAGGGAGGAAGGACAGGCCCTGGGCTTCCCCAGTTTCTCACCTAGCCAGATCTGATGCCTGATGGATTGGTTTATTTGTGTGTTTTTCTTTTTCTCTTGCCCTGCAGGACACTGAACCCAGGCCTCCCACATGCTAGGCAAGCACACCACCACCACAGTAACTTGCCAGGCCTCTCTTTTTTACTTTGAGACAGGGTCCCACCAGCTTGCCCAGGCTGGCCTCTCAGGCCTCCCACATGCTAGGCAAGCACACCACCACCACAGTAACTTGCCAGGCCTCTCTTTTTTTTACTTTGAGACAGGGTCCCACCAGCTTGCCCAGGCTGGCCTTAAACTCATGATGCTTCTCCCTCAGCCTCCTAAATAGGATTATGGTGTACACCACTGTGCCTGGCTGCCTGAGTTGTTTTTGTTCTCATCATTTTAAGATCTTTCAACGGCTTTGGAAAGAAACACTCAACTCCCACCCCAACCCACCCACTGTACACACACAAAAACATTTTTTTTTTACTAGATGAAGAAACACTCTTTACCAGTAAATACAAAGTTATTGTGAGTGCTTCTGTTGGTTTCAGGTGTGGATGCAACACCAGGTTTTGGTGGTGCTCCATCTGCTCATAGCCTTACCCCAGTATACCTAGCCCATGCTACAGGTCTCCTCTCCTCCTACAGTTTACCGGGGATCTGCAAACTGGGCGCACGTGCTGCCTGGTGCGCGGGCTCCTTGTGCATCCACCTTTCCCCTCGCCTTTACTCTCTGAGGGCAGAGTGAGCATATTCACATCTGCTCTGGTTGTTCTGTGGACTGAGCAGGGACTCATATGTGTTCATTGAATATGCAGATGACTGGCAGAATTTAAATCAACAGGAACTTATGCCTAGTGCTCAGAGTGGGCGGGGGCTGGGTGGGCACCCGCTAGTGCTGTTTTCTTCTGCAAGATCATGGATTCAAATGCCAGACAACTGATTTAGCAGGACGGGATCAGTTAAACCTTTGTGATTTGGGAAGCGCTTTTATTGAACAGTGAAATAACCTGGGAGAAATTAGAGAAAGCAGTAGCTCAGCGTTCCAAGATGTGGGACTCCTCTGACTGCTTTTATTCCTCTCTGTGTGAAGAGATCTGCAGATAAAGAGTGAACATTTCCTCTGCAAGCCACTTGCTTGTACTCTTAGCCTAGTGGCCACAAGTGGACTTTCGCAAAAGCATAATTTTAAGCAGTAAGTCACAGCCAGAACATAGGTGAACTAATTGTCAGAGAGCTTCTTCAGAGGGATTCGAGATTAGGATGGGGTTAGGTGGGAGGCGACCCCGGGCTCTCTTAGAGCATTTGTAACTGAACAGTCTGTGGTTATGTGATAACCGCACTGACAAGTTTTCCCCAAACGTGAGTGGGAGAGACCCAGGTGTTAGAGACTGAGCTGAGCACGTGTCTCCTCCTGCCACACGCCCAGAGGTTGGCGCCCACTTAAGATGAGCATGCAGATGTGTATTTCTAACACGGCCCATAGAGTGGCTGTCAGGTGACAGGCCCTGTCCTGTTCCCTGAGTGTGAGGTGTGGGCAGGTGAGCAGCGTTTCAGGCAGAGTTCCTTACAGGACAAGGTAGTTGCCGGGCTGCCGGGTAAGCTCACAGTACTTCATCCAGCACCACAGAGAGTTATTTACAATCAAGAGACAGGGCAGGGACAGGAATTTAGCCCAGTGGTTCTGCTCTGTGCCTTGAAAGCTCAAGGACCTGAGTTCGATCCCGGGTACAGAAAGAGAGAGAGAGAGCGAGAGCGAGAGCGCACAGTATTGACGTGTCCACAGGGTCCAACCAAATGGATTACATGGAGAGTGTTTCGCTTGAGTGTTACGGTTGCCCCTTCTCCACTTTGCAAAACATTACAGAACCTGTCACCAGAGACAGGCAGGGGGATACGGACTGCCCAGCTTGCCTGCAACTCACAGGCAAGCGTCAGCAGTGCTCTCCTCTTCCTTCAGAAGGCTCACAGTTGGAGAGCGATTTCCAGAAAGGAAGACCTTGTATGGCTGTTGTTTTTCAATCGTAGGAATCAGCCTCATCCATTCTACACAGGGAGCCCTCTGAGCGGGGCAGAGATGCGTGACACTGGGGAGGGCAGCTCTGAGGAGAGTTGTGAAGCAGAGGGAGGGGCCTCGGGGCCTGAGTGCACCTTAAGCCCAAGTTCCCTGCGAGGAACTGCTCTGGGATTGGCAGGGCTAGGAGAACTCATGTAGTCAGGTGTGGCAAGGATGTGTCTAATTCTGGTCCTCAGGGAGTCTGAAGCAGGAGGATCAAAAGTTGGAGCCTGGCCTGAGCAACGTAGTGAGACCCTGTCTCAAACACTGAAAGTGGCGGGGTGGGGTGGGGTGGGGGTGTAGTTAGCTCTGTGCAGAGGTCCTGGGTTTAATCCCCAGTATTGAAAGAGAGAGGGATACAGAGAGAAAGACAATATGCATATGACAAGGGAGGACAGAAGGAAGGGGGCAGGGGGACTCCTG